AAGTGAAAAATTTTTCGTCCACGTTTTAGCCCGCAGTTCTGAATCGATCTTGAAAATTCAAAAACCGTTCGAAAGATATTGATTGGGAATCGTGCTGATTAGTTTTTGGTAGAGATCGGCCGGGCCGTTTTCTTGTAAAAAAGTGTTAAAAAATTTTTTTTCGACGATTTTTATTATAATTTTTTTGACGGTAGATACCATAGTCTTCTAGATCATACTAAAATATCACGGTCCTACGACAATTCGTTTAGCTTTAAAAATTCGTTAAAGTTTGCAAAAATTAGTATCGTTTTTTTGGCATTTGTCAAAATTAGACTTTTCATCGACGATTGCTCAAAAACGCCTGAACCGACTTCAGAAATTTAAAAACCATTTGATGTGTCTCAATGACGACTATCGTTTGTCAGTTTTGTGCGACGATCTGCCAAGCCGTTTCTTTTTAATTTGAAAAAAAGTATTAAACTTTTCGTCCGCATTTAAGCTCAAACTACCGATTCGATTTTAAAAAATCAAAAACAGTTCGAAAGATATTAGTTGGGAATAATACTTGTGGGAACCATCTAAATACGAGGTTGGACAACTGATGGCGCCACAAGTTTATGCCTCAACTGCAATTGTCACCACTTGTGGGACCCGCCTACGTTGCACCAGATGTCACCACAATAAATCCTATAGACATCCCCACTCCTTGGCGCTCAGAGTATTTAACGCATAGCGCAACACTGAGAAATTCTCTTTCACCTCAACCATCAAGGAGTCAACAAGTACTGACTTGGGACCACGGACAAGTAGCCAGCCGGAAGAAGCAATATTAAGTTCTAATTTCAATGTAAATATTAGATATATAATAAATAATATTATATTTAATATTTGAATTATTTGAGTGGAATATATGTGGACGATACCCACATAATTGGTGACCCCGACGTGATATTCTGATCTGAAGATGGAAAAATCAGGTAAGAATTCTGATAAAACGCCTTCCAAGACACCGAAGGGTTCGGCATCTGAACCTGCCTCAAATCATGTATCCACAAACGACACAATTAACCGGGTTGCAGTAAAAATACCACCGTTCTGGAACAATAGCCCGGACCTATGGTTTGCGCAAGTCGAAGCGCAGTTCGAAATTGCTTCAATAACAAACGAAAACACAAAATTTTTTTATGTAGTCGCCCACCTGGAAGAGAAGCACGCACGCGAAGTGGAGGACGTGATTCGTGAGCCACCAGCAGAGAATCCCTATTCTTATTTGAAAGAAGTCCTCGTAAGCAGGCTATGTGCATCAGAAGAGACTAGGATCAAACAGCTACTTTCGGAGGAAGAATTAGGGGATCGCAGCCCATCACAATTTTTGAGACATCTTCGCTCCTTGGCCGGTCACACAAAAATAGGTGAAACAATATTCAAATCTTTATGGATACAACGGCTGCCTGCATTCGTTCGCGGCATTTTACAAATCCAAAGTGACCTACCTTTAGATAAATTGGCAATCACAGCGGACAAAATTCTAGAAGCTCAACCGTTGGTCCCGCATGTAGACTCAACAAAGCAGCCGCACCACAATCAATCTACCGACATCCACTACAAAAACACCCTGGAGGAATTAACAAAACAGGTACAAAATTTGCAAGAACAAATTCGACGTTTAGGTAGATCAAGATCGAGAAGCAGCGAACGACAAGAAACCACGAAATGCTGGTATCATCAGCAATTTGGAAAAAAGGCGAAAAAATGTCAAAAACCATGTACGTGGAAAACATATAGCAGAATACGCAGCACAAAAAACGAGGAAACCGATCAGTAGTGGCGACAACTGATCATCAATCCGCTAAAGGTCGCCTTTTTGTTTTTGATAATAACAATAACATTAAATTTCTTGTAGATACCGGTTCAGACGTTTCGTGTTACCCCAGGAGAGCCTTCAGTAAATGCAACAAATCAGAGTATGAACTACAAGCTGCCAATGGTACTCCAATTCGAACGTACGGACTAAAGAATTTGCGTCTTAATCTCGGGCTGCGGAGACAGTTTGACTGGAAATTCATTATCGCAGACGTGGACACACCAATAATAGGTTCGGATTTCTTAGCATTTTTTGGGCTTCTACCAGACTGCCGAAATAAACGCCTAGTCGATGGAAGAACCGGGTTACACACCGCGTGTGTAACTCATACATCACACCAAGAAAGCGTTAAAACACTCATACACAAGGATCCGACAATTCAGAAACTACTATCAGAATTTCCAAATCTAATCAAACCACCTGGCACGCTGCGTAAACCACTCCACAGCACAAGACATTCTATTATTACAACGCCAGGCCCACCTGTAACATGCCGTCCACGTCGTCTAGCGCCAGACCGATACCAGATCGCCAAGGATGAATTCGAATCAATGCTGCAAGAAGGCACAGCACGTCGATCAAAAAGTCCTTGGTCTTCCCCATTACACCTGGTCAAAAAGAAGGATGGAGGGTGGCGACCGTGTGGCGACTATCGCGCACTTAATGCGAGGACAGTACCAGATAGATATCCAATCCGTCACATTCACGACTTCTCAACAAATCTCCAGGGATGTAATACATTTTCTGTTATAGATTTAGTGAAGGCATACACGCAAATCCCGGTAGAAGAAAAGGACGTACCAAAGACAGCAATATCAACGCCTTTTGGCTTGTTTGAGTTTCCATTTATGTCTTTCGGTCTCAGAAACGCTGGACAGACCTTTCAGCGCTTCATAGACGAAGTGTTGATAGGATTAAATTTTTGTTTTGCTTACATAGATGATATTTTAGTTTTTTCCAGAAATGAACAAGAGCATCGAGTGCATTTACGAGCAATATTTGAACGCCTTCACCACCATGGAATTGTAATAAACCAGACAAAAAGTACCTTTTGTGTCCCGCAAATTCAGTTTTTGGGATACGAAATTTCAGCAACAGGAACCAAGCCACCATCTGAACGTATCGAAAATCTGAAGAATTTTCCTCGTCCAGAAACAGCAAAGTCCCTCAGACGATTTTTAGGTATGCTCAATTATTATCGCCGTTTTATACCTAACGCAGCTTCGAACCAAGCAATACTACACGATGCAATATCATCTATCAAAGGCAATAAATCTATCTCCTGGACCTCAGAACTGGAAAAAGCATTTCAATCCTGCAAAGACAAACTTGCGGAAGCAACGCTACTCCAACATCCAATTCATGGTGCTAAATTAGGATTATTTACAGATGCTTCCCAGCAGGCAGTAGGCGCCTGTTTGCAACAATTGGTTGAAAACAAATGGCAACCCCTAGCATACTTCTCTAAAAAGTTGACTCCACGTCAATCGACATGGCCAGCTTATTACAGGAATTGCTAGCGGTATATCTTGCTGTGCAGCACTTCAGGCACATCTTGAAGCACATCAATGCACAATATACACTGATCACAAACCATTGACTTTTGCATTCAACCAACGCCATGAAAAACTACCGCCAGTTCAATTAAACCATTTAAACTTTATTTCACAGTTTACAACAGACATAAAATACATCAGAGGCCAGGAAAATATTATAGCTGATACACTGTCACGCGTCGAAGCCATTACAAAAGACAATTTACTTAATTTTGAAATCCTAGCACAGCACCAGAAGGACGATGAGGAACTTAAACGCCTTTTAATGCAAGACACAAAACTACAATTAGAAGAAATTCCTGTACCAGGCACAAACATTAAGTTGTTTTGCGACACGGCGAAGGCTCAGCCACGACCTTATATCCCGGCACCATTGCGGAGACAAATATTTAACTCATTACATGGTTTGAGTCACCCTGGGATACGAGCAACTTTGCGTCTCATTACTGCACGGTACGTATGGCCATCTATACAGAAAAACTGCCACGATTGGGCTAGAGCTTGTCAAGATTGTCAAAGGTCCAAAATAACGCGACATGTACATGCACTTCACGGAACATTTCCCTTGCCAACAGCAAGATTTGAACATGTACACATCGATATAATTGGTCCTTTACCTCCTGTTAACTCTTATAAATATTGTTTGACAGTCATCGATAGATTTACCAAATGGCCAGAAGTATACCCACTACAAGGAATATCTGCAGAAGAAGTAGCGGTTGGATTTTTATCATGCTGGATATCCCGTTTCGGAGCTCCAGTCAAAATAACGACGGATCGAGGTACTCAATTTGAATCTGAATTATTTAGATCATTAAATAAATTGACAGGTACCATTAGAATCAGGACTTGCAGCTATCATCCATGCTCCAACGGACTAATAGAACGCTTCCATCGACAACTCAAGGCTGCGATAATGTGTTACAAAGACAACACATGGTTGGAAGCACTTCCGCTAATTCTATTAGGCATTCGAAACGCTTACAAACCAGATATCAAAACATCAGCAGCTGAAATGGTGTATGGTGAACCACTCCGGCTTCCTGGAGAACTTTTTGAATTACATAAAAATCCTCAAAATATAAGACATCCGGCTGATCTGCTCTCGAGACTTCGACAACACGTGGCGCATCTTCAACCATGTAAATCCAGTAATCATACAAACAATAAACCATTTATTTTTCAGGACCTACAAACTTGCACGCACATTTTCCTCCGCGACGATACTATCAGGAAGTCACTCCAACAACCATATCAAGGTCCATACGAAGTCCTTAAAAGAGATGACAAAACAGTAACCATACGAACACAGAAAGGCAGTACACGAGTGTCCATCGATCGCGTCAAACCAGCCTACATCATCGCAGATCCAGTAGACCAACCCATCCTCACCAAAGCAGAGAACAGTTATTTCACTCGATCAGGCCGAAAAGTTCATTTTCGCATACCATGACCTCCAGTCTCCGCGGGGGGCTCCTGTGGGAACCATCTAAATACGAGGTTGGACAACTGATGGCGCCACAAGTTTATGCCTCAACTGCAATTGTCACCGCTTGTGGGACCCGCCTACGTTGCACCAGATGTCACCACAATAAATCCTATAGACATCCCCACTCCTTGGCGCTCAGAGTATTTAACGCATAGCGCAACACTGAGAAATTCTCTTTCACCTCAACCATCAAGGAGTCAACAAGTACTGACTTGGGACCACGGACAAGTAGCCAGCCGGAAGAAGCAATATTAAGTTCTAATTTCAATGTAAATATTAGATATATAATAAATAATATTATATTTAATATTTGAATTATTTGAGTGGAATATATGTGGACGATACCCACATACTGATTAGTTTTAGGTGAAAATCTACCGAGCCGTTTTCTCGTAATTAATTGTTGAAAAAAGTGTTAAATTTTCGTCCACATTTAAGCTCATCCTACCGAACCGATTTTAAAAAATCAAATACTGTTCGAAAGATATTAGTTGGGAATAATACTGATTAGTTTTAGATGAAAATCTACCGAGCCGTTTTCTTGTAATTAATTGTTGAAAAAGTGTTAAATTTTGTCCACATTTAAGCTCATCCTACCGAACCGATTTTAAAAAATCAAAAACTGTTCGAAAGATATTAGTTGGGAATAATACTGATTAGTTTAGGTGAAAATCTACCGAGCCGTTTTCTTGTAATTAATTGTTGAAAAAAAGTGTTAAATTTTCGTCCACATTAAGCTCATCCTACCGAATCGATTTAAAAATCAAAAACTGTTCGAAAGATATAGTTGGGAAGTACTGACTAATTTTAGGTGAAAATCTACGAGCCGTTTTCTTGTAATTAACTGTTGAAAAAAAAATTTAAGCCGATTTTCATGGAACTTTTTTGGCGATATACATCATGGTCTTATAGAACTTACTGTAATATTACGGCCTTACGTGAAAGTAGTTTATTTCAAAAATTCGTCAAACTTTGCTAAAATTATTATCGTTTTTTTTAAAGTAGGATTGATGAAGTATATTATTTACACTTTTTTTTTGATTAAGTTGATTATTTACACATATCGGGAAGTTCATGTAACTTGCCTCAAGGCTAAATACCAAACCAACTAGTTTTATATTTATTTATATTATACAGTACAATTGTACAATTGTAGATATCAATGGTACATAACTTAAATTAATAGATAACATACTATATTAAATGAAATATAATTTACAAAAAACAAATGTTCACTTGAAGTCTTATTCTAATTTTCAGAGAATAGTTTACTGAAAATTATAATTTAAATACTCATCAAATAGAGTAAAAAAACTTGCTCTTTAAAAAATGTATTGAGTAGTTTATAAAATTTCCTATTTTCAACTTCTCTAATACCTAGTGGCAGCTTTTGTAAAGCATTATGCCAGATCATCTAAGGTATTAAATGTAGAGGCAAATTCAATGTGGGACCTTTTACAAGTTTATGTCTTGTGTCATAATGAATACATTCGGGATTTGGGCTTAAATTAAACAGGTTACCATATTTTTTATAAAGCAGAGGGTGATTAGGAGAAAAATGCATGGAACAGGTAGAATCTTGTGCTCATGGAAAAAAGGTTGGGCTGGCTACCCCGTATCAGTAATTAATAATAAAGCGGACTGTAAGTAAATAATTGTTATATGACGATAACCGTTCCAAATTTGAATTTTACTGATAGTGCAGTAAACGGAGAGGAAAAAGGGTATAACCTCTGAATTTTTTTACTGTGCTCCGAAATGAATGAAATTTTGGAATTAGGTTCATCTTACCCCCAAGTTCAAAAGTGAAAACAATTCGGGTTGCGCCATCACAGGCTCCCAGGGGGGATGACACCCCCTCTCAATTGTGTAATTACATTTTTTTAAAATAACGTCGGAAATCGATAGAAGAACTAATTATAAGAAAAAAATGTCTTTTATAGTTTTTCAAAAAAAACTAATACTTTTCAAGTTACCGGCCACTAAATATTCATATATTTTTGGTTTTTTCTTCGTTTTTTTTGCAAATATCTCCTGAAATATACATTTTAACGAAAATCATGTTATGAACAAAATAATGTCAATAAAAATCTTAATAAATCGGTATTACATAAAGTGTTCTAGGAAAAATATTAAGCAAGATTTGAAAGAGCAAAGTCGTTTTTTATTTCGTTCAAGATTTAATTATTGTATTTAAAGCCATCTAGTGTCGAGGTTTTACATTTTATGCATTTCGGTGAAATTGAGTTTTATTGTGCTCAACATAAGCTTAAAATGAGTGCTGTTACAAGTTTTTTGCGTGTAAAATGAGTGAGCTATCGTGCAAATAAGAAGCATATACGAGGTTTTTTCTTTTTAAATCACATAGTTTAATGTGCGCCATTTCCACCAGAATTAAGGTAATTCACATTCCATCTAGAATTCACTTCATTATAGACATCTTAATGGATTCTAGCAGATTCACTACTTAGTACAAACTATTTTCAGAAAACTCACGATTTTATAAAAACTTTTTTTCCAATTTGCGCGGGCCGCGCAGTCTTTAAACATTCATAACTCTGTCAATTTTTGTGTGAAAGAAAAATAATAAATAAACAAAAATAAGCCAGAAAGATCCCTTTGATTTTTATCTATATGCTTTTATACGTATCTTTTATTTTTTTTGAGATATAATGAAAATAATTTCGATTTTTTTAAAAATTGGAAAAAAAAGTTTTTATAAAATCGTGAGTTTTCTGAACATAGTTTGTACTAAAGTAGTGAACCTGCCAAAATCCATCAAGATGTCTATAATAAAGTGAATTCTAGATGGAATGTGAATTACTTTCATTCTGGTGGAAATGGCGCTCATTAAACTATATGATTTAAAAGAAAAAAACTTCGTATATGCTTCTTATGTGCACGATAGCTCACTCATTTTACACACAAAAAACTTGTAACAGCACTCATTTTAAAGCTTATGTTGAGCACTATAAAACCCAATTTCACCGAAACGCATAAAATGTAAAACCTCGACACTAGATGGCTTTAAATACAACAATTAAATCTTGAACGAAATAAAAAACAACTTTGCTCTTTCAAATCTTTCTCAATATTTTTCCTAGAAAATTTATGTAATACCGATTTATTAAGATTTTTACTGACATTATTTTGTTCATTACATGATTTCGTTAAAATGTATATTTTAGGAAATATTTGCAAAAAAAACGAAGAAAAAACGCCAAAAATATATGAATCTTTAGTGGCCAGTAACTTGAAAAGTATTAGTTTTTTTGAAAAACTATAAAAGACATTTTTTCTTATAATTAGTTTTTCTATTGATTTCCGACGTTATTTTGAAAAAATTTAATTACACAATTGAGAGGGGGTGTCATCCCCCTGGGGGGTGATGGCGCAACCCGAATTGTTTTCACTTTTGAACTTGAGGGTAAGAGGAACCTAATTCCAAAACTTCATTCAATTCGGAGCACCGTAAAAAAATTCAGACCTAAAACGCTCCGTTTACTGCACTAATTTTGCCTCTATCCTTAATAAGATGAGTTTCTAGTCTGGTGTCTGGAAAATCGTCTTAACGGGGTTTTACTCAATATAAATATATATTAAATTCTACTTACGTGTATGAATGGGCCCCACAGGATTACAATTGTACACAACTGCATAAGTATCATAGTCGGTGTCCAAAACCGAATACGAGGTGTCCAAAGAAACTGGCAAAGTGTTGTATTTGACCAACATCGACCCTGAATTTTCACCCTTAGTGCTCAATTCGCCAACCCAGGTACGTTTCACGTTTGTACTGAAAGATAATAGATAAGAAACAGATTTTTTTTTAATTTACTAGATGCAAGGAAATTATATGTTTTTTTTAATTACATTGAAAAAAAAAACTATATTGAGAGTTTCATATCCGAATCTTGTGTTGGGACCCCCTAATGCGTGCGTTGCATTCAAGGTAGGACCGGTCCTGATTATTACTTAATTTCATATTTTAAGTGAATTAATTTGTCAAATCTGGTTCATATGTGTATCATTCAATCTGCCATACATCTACTGTATCTTATATTATTTTAATTCCTGGCACATCTCAGCTGCTTTTTGGCAATAATAATATAGACATTTATTTTTTTATTCAGAATCATGAATTTATTATACATATTCTTATATTGTCTAGGCTCATAAGTAAATTGAAATTTTCGGCAGCGACAGTTTTCATTTGTTTTCACTGCCAAACAATGACATTGAAATGACGTTTTTTGCAATTTTTTCCATTTATTTCTACAATATCACTATATTTTTATAATCACATACATCCTAAAAAATTCTCTTAACAAACTTCAGAAAGATTTATCAAAATCCGTATAATCGTTTAGGAGGAGTATATTTACATACATCATTAGAGAAGAATTTTATATATAAGATAGCTGAATATGATTGTTGGAATATAATATTAAACTAGATATAAGTGGCATTTTGTCTTGAGCCCAATATAGGGTCCGCCAAATAACTTTTTTTTTGCTTTATTGCTATAAAAAATTAAATTAGCCAATAACGATTGATACCTGGCCAATTTTAAAATTGCGACCATAAATACAAACTAGTTAAGTTCGATTAATAGTTTAAATTCTTAAATAATCACGTGCTTGCCATGTCGGCCGAACCTAACACGACGCTTTCTCATACATTTTTGCTTAGGCTTGGATGCGCATGGTAAGCGTTACTACAATATTTTGAGTACGAATATATTTAATTAGTTTTTTTTTATGGACAAACTAGGTGTTATTGGTATTTTGCTTTAAGGCAAGTTGCATTAACTTTCCAAAACCAGTAAATAATCGATTTAAACAATAAAAATAAGCTATATATAGCAAAATATGAAACACGTTGCAACATTTTTTTTAAACTTGATAAATCATTTTGTGTAATATTAAACATCTGTTATAAAAAAATACTCGCACGATTACATATATCATTTACGTACGTTTCTGCTACTTATTCCTTAATTTCTGATACCATAGAGGTTGAACTTACATTAGAACAAATGCGCTTTACTCTGTAATAGTTTTTTTAGCATGTTATAGACGGCGGTATTATGCTTAAAATTCAGCGTTTGCTTTAAAATATAGTTTAGTATAGTTCTAATTAGAGTACACGTACTTTAAACGCTTATTTTTTAAAATAGACATATAATATATTTTATAAGTCTATATTTGTTCCAATTTCATTTAGTCAAATTTAACCAGGTTCATCTTTTCTATATTATATGTTTATATAAATCTTATCTAGAATTAAACCTAAGGGTAAATTTACGTGCTACGGTCGGTGGCGACCTCTATGATATGCTAAAGCAATTAAAATTGAGGTAAAATCAAAACGGCTGTGTTTGCGATCTATTCATACTTGTTTATCTATGATACTTACAAAGCATTTGTCATTTGGTTCGAAACTCGGATAGATCCATCTGGTCGCCTTTCATAGTTAGAAAAGACACAACGTCTTCCCAATTCTGATACTGTGAAGTATCTTTCCGTTTCAAACCTGTAGAAAGAATAATGAATAAAATATAATAATTGATAAAATAATTTGTACCTTTAAAAGTACAAGCATCACTAATTGAAAGAATTGACAACCCAAACAATTATGAAATAAAATTAATTTATTATTATATTTTCTGTAATTCAGTTTTTATTGGTGCAGCCATGGCCGGTAACAACTATCTTCACTTGAAAACATACTGCCATCTATATTTCCAAATGAAAACCGATGTTACTACTGCTGGATGTCAGGCTGTTCCAGGCGGGTATCGACTTAATATATATATATACATATATATACACACATATATATATATATATATATATATATATATGATGAGTTATTTAGAATCGGACAGTATTTATATAATTCATCAATAAGTACTTACCAGTCTCCTAAAAATGCTTCCATGTCGAAATCCTGCATGGGTTTCACATCTGGACAAAATCCTAGTTGTGGAATTTGGGCAAGTGTCGTTGCCAGGCACACAAATAATATTGGTAAAATTAAGTAACGCATTTTTAGTGGATTTTCTTATTAAATCTGAAAGTATAATAAAATGTATTTTATATTTAGATGTATATTTAATAATATTTAAAGACATTTATATTATTTGATATAAGATAATAAAAAAGGGAGGAAAAAAATATTGATTTTGTGGTGCTCTCATACTATGCACCTGCCTTCGGGCGGACTACTATTTATTATTATTAATTATTATATTATTTGATACTTAAAGGTTTTATATTCTACAAATAGTTTCTCAAGCTAATCATAAATTTTATTATCAGCTTCCAATTTTTGTTTTTGCCAAAAAATATGACTCGCTAATTTTAGGTTTTCTTGATGTTTCAAGTGATTCTTAATCGTTTGTCATTGAAATTGAAAAAGTATGTGTATATGAGCCAATTTTTGACCCTTTGTCGATCAGCCATTTCTTTGGAATTTGCAAAAATGTGCAATAAATTTTGTTCATATTTTTGCAAAAAATCTTGAACCGACATTTAAAATTTAAGTTCGAAAGATATGAGTTGAGAATTGGCTGATTGAAGTTTTTGGTAAAGATCGGACAGATGTTTTTTCATACGATTATTTGTCAAAAAGCATTTTTTACGTTTTCAATCAAATTTAATTGGCGATTGTGTTCATAATCTAAAGTTTAGATTATCGTAGACCCCTTGGGCGTTGCCTTTTTTGCATTTTTTCTTTAATTTTTAACTATACTAAATTTTATTATTAAATATTTAAATTGAAAATACATCTCACTTGTACATAATAATGAACAAATAAAATAAGAGAAAAGTATATGTTCAATTATCACCATTTGGCAAGACTTTTGTAAGGTTGCCTTACATCCTTTTCTTATATCTTAACCTTTCCACTCGGACGCCGACACTCCGAGTTCTCGATTAATTCATATTGATCCGCAAATTGTGAATGATATCCGAATTGTTTTTTGTTATAAAATTAATATTTTACAACTATAATAGTTTTTTCAAACTTCTAGTCAAGAAATAGTCCCCAATTTTTTTTTGTTGACATGGGCCACGTGAATGTTGTCATGAATTACTAAGGGTCCAAGGGGACCACTTTGAGAATTACTTTATAATCTAAAGTAATCTAAAGTTTAGATTCTTAGACGTAAAGAAATTTGGTTTACATTTTAGACGAACATAGAAAATATTAGAGGCCTACAAAAAGTGTTAGTAATAATTTACTGCGCTTTTTAGACATACAAGTGTGTTTGTGCACTATAATTAATACAATTAAAAACTAGTGGGGTGGGTGGCATCGTGCCTTAAGGCAAATTGCTGGAACTTTCCGTACCGTAACGAAATGTTCGAGGAATACTGAATGTTTTCAAATAGATTATTATAAATATTGTAACATTGTCTAATATTTATAAGAATTATATAAACTGAATTGCAAAGTTGAAATTATTTGTTTAAAGTATATTAGAACTATAGTCAGAATTAAAAATAAAATCTGAATTATTTTCGATATACAAAAAATTTAAAAAAATAAAAAATTGAAACAAAAATTTTTTTTTCCAAAATCAATTATTTTGTTAAGACAAGCAGAAAGTTCTTTGAATCATTCAAATCGGACGCTTAGTTCTCGCAAAAACTGCTATTTTTTACATATTTAGCTTCGTATCTTCGAAATGGCTGGGCCTGCCTTTGCCCAAAAACTGATAAACACTTCTCCCAATCATTACTAATTGAATGTTTTTTAGATCATTCAAATCGGATACTCCGTTCTCTCAAAAAGTCGATTTCTATTTTCTGCACTCTTTGCTCCATATCCCCGAAACGGCTGGACCTGCTTTTGCCAAAAACTAATCAGCTCTTTTCCCTATCGATAGGAATCGAATGTTTTTTGAACCATTCAAATCGGTTGATCCGTGCGCCCGAAAACGTGACTGGAAATTTGTATCCATACTTACATACACACACACACACATACATCCATTTTTTCTGAGGTATGCCAAAATGTTCAGTAACCTTCAAAACGTCGAAAAATGTAAAAATTTTCAATTCCGATTTTCGGTCCATTACAATAACTTACCCTACGGGAAGTTAATATTACAAGTTTGTAAAAGATATAAATTTTAAATCGCATTGATTACTCTTAAGTGAAAGCCAAAACTTTTGAGCCAAAACTTTTGAAGCAAATATTTGAAAATTTTATCTAAATAGCTAATTATAAATTCTTATTCAATCGATTACTTCCACTTTCTTCTTAAGACAAAATACCACCTACACCTAGTGCTTTAGACAATTAAGTGAAATAATTAATTTCAGCTATAATTAAATATACTTAAATCATTATTAACTCGTCGTAGGGTAAGTTATAGTAATCGCAAAAATATCTAAGATGGATATTTTTACATATTTTTACGTTTCAGAGTTTTCTGAACATTTTAGAATACCTTATAATTAGAAAAAATTGATGTATGTGTGTTCGGATACAAATTTTTGTTGACGATTCTGGACACGCGGTTTAGCCGATTTGAATGATTCTAGAAACATTCGATTCGTATTGATAAGGAGACGTGCTGTTTAATTTTTTGGCAATGGCAGGTCCTAGTCGTTCCGAAGATACGAGGCAAAAAGGGCCAAAACCGATAACTCAGTTTTTAAGAGAACGGAGCGTCCGATTTTAATAAAACATTTTACTTTTATTGACAAGATGAAGAAGTGATCAAATTTTCATGAAGACAGGTCTAGCGGTTTCGGAGATATAGTGAAAAAAGAAAAAAAAATGCCATCTGGCGGTCAAAAATGATCATTAGACATATGCACATCAAATTATCAGATATTTTATAGAGATTTTTACAAGAATTTTGTTTACATTCCTATGGGTTCCGTACCAATGTTTATCCGTTAGACGGCGACGCGGCGCTTACGCGCTTTGACATTTTATCTCTATGCAGTTAAAGCAGTACGATTGCTTTGAAAAAAAGTTCAGAATTTAATTTTTAATATGCACATCAAATTATCAGATATTTTATAGAGATTTTAACAATAAGTATAAATTTTATTTACATTGCTATAAAATGGCGGCGCGACGCTTACGCGCTTCGATATTTCGTCTCTATGCAGTTAAAGCAGTACGATTGCTTTGAAAAGTTCAGAATTTCCAAAATATAGAAAACATTTTTTTTTCAAAAAAAAAAATATTTCAAGGAAAGTAATTTTGTGTCGAATTTATAGTTTCTCAAAAATCTCATTTTTTTCAAGTAAATTTCAAAAATGTTAATCGTTTTTAAAAAAAATAATAATTTTTGGTACGGGAAGTTCCAGCAATTTGGCTTAAGGCACGATGCCATGCGCCCCTCTAGTTATAATAATCTATTTGAAAACATTTAATATTCCTCAAATATTTCGTTACGGTACGGGAAGTTCCAGCAATTTGCCTCAAGCACGATGCCATACACCATTTTTTTATTTACTTATTTTACAAAATGTTACATTTTCTAATTTCAAAAATAAACTTTCTAACGGATTAACAGTTTAACGGTTTAACGGATTTTTATTAAAACGCGAGTCGTTACTCGTCAATACAAATAGAGCAAGTGCCAAAAGTAGGTAAGTGGGCCTAAGTTTTATTTATTCTCGTACTCTCTTGTAAACAAAAAGGCGACACGATGCTAATATTTAATTAAAACACAAATAACAGAATGTTAAATAGTTGGATAAATATTTACTCAAACGCGGAAGAAAGATTTTAACGATCTGTTACAAGAGAAATGGGATGGTAATGGAAATAATAAGAAGGTAGTATGTACACATGATTATTAATTTGAGATGTATTCAGCTTATGAAGTTATTTGTAAATTTAAATTATGGCTTATTAACTTCCGAAGGAGAAGTTTGTTTCGTCAAAAAATCCGATTCGCTAATTTTATGTCTTGTCGACGTTTCAAGCCATTCTGAATCGAATGAGACCAAATTTGGAAAAAGTATGTGTGTGTGTATGAACAGATTTTTCACCGTAATTCGACGTTTTCTCAAAAACGGCTGAACCGATTTCAAAAATTTAAAAGTCATTCCATGTATCTCGATGAGGATTATTGTTTGTCAGTTTTGGGCGACGATCGGCTTAACCGTTTCTTCGTAAATAGCAGAAAAGTGAAAAGTTTTTCGTCCACGTTTTAGCGCGCAATTCTAAATCGATTTTGAAAATTTAAAAACCGTTCGAAAGATATTGGTTGGGAATCGACCTGATTAGTTTTTGGTAAAGATCGGCCGGGCCGTTTTCTTGTAATAAAGTGTTAAAAAAAATCGGCAATTTTCATGATTTTTTTTTTGAGATAGATATCATGGTCTTATGGATCACACTAAAATGTTACGGCCCTACGACAAGTCGTTTAATTTTGAAAATTTGTCAAAGTTTGCAAAAATTAGTATCGTTTTTTTGGCATTTGTTAAAATTAGACTTTTCATGGACAATCTCAAAAACGCCTGAGCCGATTAATTTGGAAAAAAGTGTTAAACTTTTCGTTCATATTTGAGCTTATACTACCGAATCGATTTTAAAACTGTCCGATAGATATTAGTTAAAAATGATACTGATTAGATTTAGGTGAAAATCTACCGAGCCGTTTTCTTGTAATTAACTGTTGAACAAAAAATAAAGCCGATTTTTATTGAACTTTGTTTTGGCGTATATATCATAGTCTTATAGAACCTACTGAAATATTACCGCCTCAGGACAAGTAGTTTAATTTTAAAAATTCATCAAAGTTTGAGAAAATGAAATAGTTTTTTTTGACGTTTGTTAAAATTAAAATTAGACGATTTGCATGGTATAACAATAGAGTACTTGGTCTTAATGAACATACTAAACCATTAAAGTCCTATGGAAACTGGTTCAATAATAAAATTTTTTGATTTTTGAAAATTTGCTTTTAGACAATACTCCGAGAGTTAACGTGTTCGTTCGTTTTCAATTATGTGTAATAAATCCTCTCGGAATACTTTTAATCACTCATAAATTAATATTTTTTTATTAAT